CCAACCACAACTAAGATTGAAGGCCAACAACTTGCCTTGGAGCTGATGGGTCCTGGAAAAACACACTGTTCCCCTTCCCCAGTTCCCCAATAAAATCTTAAAAAAAAAATAAAAATAGGATTTTGCTTGTACTAAAATAATATTTGAGAAAAGTATATACATACAGTCTATGTGGTAAAAATTAGAACAACTTCTTTTGTGTGTCTTCCATATTAGTAAAAGGAGTTGACATCATATTAAATAGGACCATGTTATTACAGGAATTGCTGACGTTTGAGGATGTGGCTGTGGAGTTCAGTTGGGAGGAGTGGCAGCTCCTGGCCCCTGCTCAAAAAGAACTGTATCGGGATGTGATGTTGGAGAACTATAAAAATCTGCTATCACTGGGTAAGGATAGCTCCCCATGTCACTTAGAGGTGCCCAATTAGTGGCCTTTTCTTCTATCATTTGCTAAAAGCTTTGCAGTCACTATGATCTTTTGAAAGTCAGATTTTCAACACCCCCACTGGCCACAAACAGGGGTATAATCTCTTCTATCCTGAAAGAGAACTTTTACTTTGCATATGAGAAATTGTTTTGTCTCTAAAATAGAATATTTTCCTATCTTCACATACCATATCCCAAATCACTATCAAAATCTTTTACCATTTCTCATGAACAGCATATCAAGCTACCAATCCAGAATCATGCTCCAAGTTGGAACATGGAGGAGAACCACAAATAATAAAGAATGAAATCCAGAATAGAACCTGTCCAGGTGAGTGAGAACAAGCAAGGGAGTAGCCATGGAAGTCACATTCTAGTCATTAAGAGAGGTGGTCACAGCTGTGAGCATATCTGAGAATACCTAAACATCTCCTCCACATATGTATCTCCCCAGATGAGAACTCTTTTCTTTGTAGGTGTTTCATGTTAAATATACTCCTTGTATCTTCTTGGATCTAATACTTTTTCATCTTACATCTTTATAATTTTCTTTTATACTGGAATCATATGGTTCACAATAAGAAGCCAGCCCCCACCACATGTCTTTTAATAAAGCACTTTTATTCTAAGATATTCTCATGAAAGAATTTGTGTGTGTGTTTTTTCTAGGAATTGGGAAAGTTGACAGTCATCTGCACGATTATTTTCAAAACCAAAGATTTCTGAAGAGCATGCAACAATGCAGTGACCAGAATGCAGTTAGAAATACTGTTCATCTGAGTAAAACAAAATTTGCCTTAATGCAAACTCATGAGTTGGACTTACATAGGAAAGCTTTGAAATCAAGTTTAAGTTCAGTTAGCCAGAAGAGAAGATATGAAGTAAAAAACTCCATTGAGTTTAATGGAGATGAGAAATCCTTTCTAGATGGTAATCATGAACAACTGTACACTGGAACCGAATTCCCTGAAAGTGCAAAACACATCAGCACTAAATTCCAAGTCTTGAACCATCAGAGGACTCACAAAACAGAGAAACCACAAGCATGCATCAAAGGTGAGAAAACCTGCATCAGGACATCTCAGTTTCTTTACCATGAAATCATTCATACTGGAAAGAAACCACATGGGTGTGATCCGTGGGGGAAATCCTCCAAAAATGTTTTGTTCACTAAACATCAGGAAACTCAAACAGAAGACAAACTCTGTATAACCAGTGAATACAGAAATGGTTCTACTGTGAAGAGCTGTCTCAGCATACATCAGCAAACCCATACAGGAGAGAAATCATATATATGCAATGAATGTGGGAAAGGCTTCACCATGAAGCGCTATTTGATTGCACACCAGCGAACTCATAGTGGAGAGAAACCTTTTGTATGCAGTGACTGTGGGAAAGGCTTTACTGTGAAGAGCAATCTCATTGTGCATCAGCGAACTCATACAGGAGAGAAACCCTATATATGCAGTGAGTGTGGGAAAAGCTTCACTATGAAGCGCTATCTTGTTGTACATCAGCGAACTCACACTGGAGAGAAACCTTATATATGTGATAAGTGTGGAAAAGGCTTCACTGTGAAGAGTAATCTCATCGTTCATCAGCGATCTCATACAGGGGAAAAATCTTATATATGCACTGAGTGTGGAAAAGGCTTCACTGTGAAGCGCACGCTCATTATACATCAGCGAACTCATACAGGAGAGAAGTCATACATTTGTGATGAATGTGGAAAAGGCTTCACCACAAAGCGCACTCTCATTATACATCAGCGAACTCACACAGGAGAGAAACCCTATGAATGCAATGAATGTGGTAAGGCCTTCAGTCAGAAGATATGCCTCATACAACATGAGAGATGTCATACAGGAAAGACACCCTTTGTATGTACCGAGTGTGGAAAACCCTATTCTCACAAATACGGTCTCATAACGCACCAGAGAATTCACACGGGAGAGAAACCCTATGAGTGCAAGGAATGTGGGAAAGCCTTCACCACAAAGTCAGTACTCAATGTCCACCAAAGAACTCATACAGGAGAGAAGCCCTATGGATGCAATGAGTGTGAGAAAGCCTTCTCCCACTTGTCAAACCTTGTTAAACATAAGAAAATGCACACAAGAGAAGTGAGTAGATTCAGTCAAGTTGGAAATTCCTTTAATGGAGAGTCACAGCACATTACTTATGAGTGAACTCATGCAGAACAAAAACCCTACTAATGCAGTGACTGGAAATGCCTTCTGTGGCAACCAAGACTTCATTAAAGTGTTTGTAGCAGATCCGAATCAGGGTACTGCCTATTGTCAGTTGTGTGCCCTAAGGAGATTAAGGAATGTGCCCAGGAGATAAAACTGGTGAATACAGTGACTGTGGTAGTGCCTTTAGTGATCCTTACCTCATTTTCTTTCAGTAAAAACATGTCAGAAAAACTAATACATTCAATGTATGCCTTTCTAGCTTCATTATATGTCTGAACAAAACTTTCAAGCTTCATTAAATGTCTGTAAAGGTGTATATGGTGACAAATTCTGTGAATGCAGAGACTAGGAAAGCCTTCAGTGGGAAGACAGACCTTATTATCAGGGATCATCTCAGATCATCACTGAGCTCATTGTTCAGAGAAAAATGAAAAAGAAATATGACATGGGAAAGCCTTTACTCAGAAAGAAGACCTCAGTGAGAGTCAGAGTTCACACTGGAGAAAAACTTTAAGAAGAACATATATATAAGAGGAATTTCATGGATACATTCGGCTCTATTTGTCAGGAAATCACATAGAAGTTAAAACTATGAACATGCTAAATTTAGAGCACCTTTTGTCAATTATCAAAGGACTCATGGGGGAATGAAGTCCTGTGAGTGATGTGAGTGCTTTTGTTACAAGTCTAACCTCATTATACATCAGATAATTCACCTGTTGTGCATTTTCAGGCAATACTTGAAACCTCCTTTCTTGTTACCTTCTCAGTAATACCATAGTTTAAAAAGTAGTCTGCTTTCCTCATTCATGATTAATTTTTGTTAATACAGGAGTGTCCTATGGCTACCCCATATTCTACTATTAGCTCTTACCTTTCTTTGGCTGTAAACTGAATTAATTGTAAATTTATCATACTGAGGTAGTTTAAAAGGAAACTGAATATTGTAAATTTATAAATATAACACATATTTGTACTTAAGCTTATAAATATGACCAAATATTTTACAAAACCACCTTCAAAGTTATTTTTATATGTCTAATTTCCACTTATTTAAATGAAAAGAAATTGCAAAGTAGTTCTGAGATTTCCCTAGTATCTATG